TACCGCGAACGCCGCGGCCAAAGTTGAAATTGGGAAGAAATCATCGGGAGAGTCGCAACCCAATCAACTCACTCGACGGGCCGCGGGTCTTATCAAAGGCCGTACTTCTTACACGCTGTAGGTTAAGGCGCAACCCGTGGGGTACGCCGCAGTGATGGGGCTACCCTAAATGTTTGTGCGGCTCGGTAGTCTCTTCTCGTGTTTGGTCCTGTCTATTAAGTTTTTATGCTTACGAAACAAACTTCAGCGCTCGGATGAGTGTTATCGACGACATTAAATAATATCGACAAATGAGCTAACATTGCTCAATTTGCACTCAAGTCGTTGTCATGAAAGACAATCCAAAAAGTTTTCCACTCTTCCTAGGCCTTACAAGCATGCTAATCGGGTCAACTATCGGGCGCTTACAGGATGCGCCGCGGTCACTTATTCGGTCCAATATCGGTTTATACGGGTAGCTCGCGGCATGGATGATTGGTGGCAGAACAAGCACCCGCGAACTTCCCGATGCAGTTCTCTGAGTCGTAGAATATGACGACTGATGAGAATATTTAAAAGGTCATTCCGGAAGTGCCTTCCGTTTTCTCGATCTATCATGAAAATACGTGGAACAAAGACGGACAACACCATCTCAACCGCTTTTTGGCACACTTTTCTTCCTGTTCTCAGTTAAGTTTTTCTTCCTTTCACTACCTCTCAAATGATTGCAGGAGAAACCCATGGTTTCTAGAGCCCAACTCCGCCAATTTTTGAAATTTTCATTCTGAACTATTTGAAGACTTTACTAGCATGGGCACACACAAAACAAACTGCAACATAATGCGCGTTTGTGGCATATGTAATAGGCTCAAATCTCTTGAATTATTTTATTGATGTGCTACCAAACTCCACATACAGTCAACTCAGACTATCGACCTGCGATTAACACAAGTATCATTTGATGGCTTTCTCTCCTCACTTCAAAATAAAAAGGTGTTTCCTTTCCGTTTTGTAAAATCTTTGGGATGAAATTATCATGATCCGTATTTTATGAAGTGCCTCAGCATAGACAACAAAAATTAAAAAACTGGATGTTCCGAAACGATAAACGCTTTGCTTCTTAAAGTTTCTGTAACATGATCAATTTCTGTAGCATTTGAATTTCGAACAACATTTTAGTGTCAAAAGGCAATTGAGGACGCCCAGAAAAATTCAACGTAACGCACATTGTTCGTTCTATTTCCTGTAACAAGCCTTCAAAGTTTTTGAAGAAAAATGTCAGAAACTGCTGGTTCTAGACTGGGTGAAATTTTGGGCTCAGAAATTCGCGGTTATATTGGTGAACACAATAGTGGCCAGTTCGGCGGCAGAACTGCAGAAGAGGAAGAAAAGCTGCGTCGAATAACGTTGTAGTGTTCCTACTCTTATTCCAGGTGCTTTTATGATAGGCCGAAGAACGAAAAATAAGGGAAGGATTCAATGTAAGTTTGAAGACAAGATGCATATCAATAGACGCGTTTTCTAACGTTGATTCCAAATCTGCTTTCTTTTTTTGCGGTTCAACTTTCCAAAAAAGTTTTGAATGCTCAACTGTCCAAACTTGTCAAGCTTCAAGTGGCCTAAAATTAGCGAAAAGCTGAAAAGACCGTTTAAAACGGTTAATCAATTTTGTATTAAGTATATAGTCTGCAAAGAAGGAGCAAAACCGGTGGATGCAGCACGGGTGTTTTTTAGAGCTCTTCGCTAATTTTAAGCTACTTAATGCTTGACAAATTTGGACATCCGAACGCTCATAACTTCTCGGGAAAGTTGTTCCGCAAATAAGAGAGCGGATCTGTCAGTACTGACTAATTACGAGACTCGTTCAATTATATACCTATCGTCCTCAACTGCCATCTTATGGATATCCTTCCCTTATTGGTTGAATACTCAATATTTACGATGTCATTTATAGAGGATTGGGAAAGTTAGGATATCCAAAGCCGCTCAAAAAACTGTCGGGCTACTTCTTTTAAGATATGGAAAAGAGCTGCAAGCTCAGCCGTTAATGATGTCGTCTAAAGATTGTTAGTGAAACTGCTCCTTGCTTTCAAAACAAACACTCCTCTACTCATCATTAGCGCTTACAGCATCAATCAAGGGCAAGAGTAGGAAGAAGACAAAGTGGAAGGAGGCGTGGATGACTTACCAGATTTTTCCTGAAAGGTAATCAAAGAGCGGGACCGCGTAGACACGAACAAATACGCTGAAAAAAAGAGGAGAAAGAATGGTATCTCGTCACAGGACGTTTGCTTTCTAGTTGAAGCCATAGAAACCGCCATGAAATCATCGCCGTGTTTATTCGGTAGCTGAAAATGCCTAGTTTCATCTGAGAAATTATAAAAATCGAGAAAACTCGTCAAATACGGAACCTCAAGTGTATGTAACGTTTATTTAGACTATTATTGACAACGAGTCTCTCTCTTGCTTCTTTAGCGATGTAGCGAAGTTGCAATGGCAATCAGTAGTCAAAATATAGGACGTTTTATAATAGAATCATATTTCTTTCTAGACAAGCTGCCATTCAGATAAACTACTAGCCAAGACCTCTCAGTACGTTAAAAAAAAGAATACTGCATTGGAAACTTAAAAAAAAACGACAAAACATTGTTTAGTTGGTTCAGCTGGTAGTTCATGGTTTTTATCTATTTATTTGAACAAGAGTGCACCAAAACAGAAAATGAAAAGAAAATCACAGCGCAGAACAATGTGATTGGATCACTTCGTCCCTTACTGAAAGGATCAGTTCGTTCTCCTTCTTTTAAAGCTAAATAGGCTCTGCTGAAATACTTTTCACCTTAGCCAAACGCGGTTATAAAATCGGAAATTACCAAGGCTTGGCTGACCAACTTAACCCGGGGCGGACGAATCCTAAGCGAACAAAGAGGCGAAAGCTCTACGTAGCTCTACGTACGCTCTACGTACATCACTAGTCTTCGATCTCCTCGAACGGCTATTCCAAGCTAAGAAAACTTTTCCAAACACTTCAAAAAATAGTCTGCTGTTGAAAATGTAAGTCAACATGCAAAATACCAAAAAATCATCAAAATTCATTATCACTGCTTTTGAAAATGCATTCGACATGCATGGCCTAATCTCCAAACTGTGCATATAGTGGTGACAGAATCAATCGTATATGCGTACTAAAGGTCACACAAAGTTATAACGCGGGGCACTGACCACCAAACAGGAGGGCAACCAGCCGCGAACGCGAGCGAATAAGAATGGTTACCTGATCTCCATAAGGAAATAATTTTTTGTATATCTGTGGTGATGGTGGCTCACGATCAATCGTTCGTCGTTGCATTTTTCTTAGGCAAAAAATAACTAAATTTTTGAAATAAAAAACAACAGGTGATGTGATGATAAGGTGATATAACATGGATGTACCAAAGTAAAGGGGTTTAGCATGAATTCTTTATTTGAAAGCTTTCACTGATTAACCTCTACTAAAAACTATGACATGAAAATTTATAAAGATTATGTACAACAATCGATTTACTACCTTTCTTACCGGTATGGAGATACAGCCAGCACATAATATCACAAACTGAGCACAATCATTGTCCTCGGCGTTAGCGCTGCTGATAGCGTTCAATTAACGTTACGGTGAATTCAATTCGTTGTTCTCACGGATATGTTCGACAGTGCGTTACGCAACGAAAGTTTAGAGAGGCGGCGTCTACTTAAGGTGTTTGACCCGCATTGTTTCGTAAACGAAAAGAATGCAATTCATAAATTCCCAAAAAAATCGACATAGTCGAAGTTGAGCTGATAAATATACGAAAATAACAACCCGGACTTGGTATAAACATCGTATAATTAACAAAATCCCGTGATTTCACACATGGCGTGGAGGATAGGGCTTTTTCCAAAATCGACCAGTCCAAACAAGCCATGAAACTTGCGACCTAAGGACCCTATAACGTGCTGCGTATTGCTTAAGAGAATCGTGCGGCATAAGGATAACTTTCCAAAACACACTGAAGCGGCTAAGCGGCTTGCTTGAAAAATCGAAAAAGGTGCTGTGCGCGTGAAATTAGAGTACTCGATTTCTCAGAAGAATTCTTAGGACAAAGAATCGAAGACTGAAAAATGCATCTTGATTTTGTTCTCAAGTTCTCCCAAGCAAACAAATTATCTTCTTTTCCCAAATTCCTTGTTCCCCATGAATTTGTCAAGAATTCAACGAAAATTTCGTGCAGATTGTTGGCGGTTTAATTGTCGTGCATATATCACAATTGGCCGAGTTGACAAGCAAAGACGCCATCGCGTCTGCATACACCTGCTCCGTGCTCAGTTTTTTTTTTTGAGCGCTTTCGTAGACCTTTGGGTGGGACGAAGGGGGGAAGGGGAGTAAGGAGCGAGAAACCCGTCCTTCATTAGATTTGTGAAATGCTTGAGCACCTCAGTAAGGCAAATCATTGATTGCTGGATAGCTTAGTTTACGTCAAATGGTTTAATCTCAATTCTCTGACTTTCAGTTCTAAATTGGAGACTTTCTTGGCAAATGCTTTCGCTTTAGGGCATCCCCCGCGCCTCCCGATTCACCTCCCTCTGCAAGGAGCGAGATTTACAATAACATGAATGCTCTCTAAATGTTCCCTATGATGACTTTCAGTCAAACAACAAAAGAACCTTGTGATACAAAACTCAAATTGGAGCCAAGTACTTCTATTCTTGCAAAATGCATTTGGCTTATTTTTTTTGTAATTTTCTTAAACTATGATTTGCTTTAGTTTTGTGTGCAATTTCATGAACAGCAGCCTTAGCGACTGTGCATGTTTGAAACACATTTTGTGAATCCACACAGAATTCATTAACGGTATTCCAAAAACCAATGATTTCCTTGATCATCAACGCGCACATCTTACAAATACCATAATATGTACCGTTTTATTTACAAAGCTTTACTTCTAAAGCGTGAACACTTGGTGAAGCCAAACAGATCCTGATCACCCCGCAATATGTTACAACTTATTTCTCAATTCTTTCACCATCACAGCCATAATTTACCGCGCTCAGTGAAAAACTGCTTCTATGAGGAGGTCCTAGCCAGCTGTTCAGCAGAATGAAATATGCTGCGGGTACGTTGAATATTGGCAAGCGCTGTCTTCAGCGTTCTTGTCGAAGGTGTTCGGTTGGCAATTCGCGTGTCGGTCCGTGGATAGCCCCTTAGGTCCTCCTTCAGAAGGCCGCGTACCTCTCGCCGAGTGATTGTGGCTGGCAGAGCTACACTGAAGGGTGGCAGTGCGTTGGGACTGGAAAAGATTTCAACATCAGAAAAAGCCATAGTCGATAAAAATACGCACTCTTGAGATGTGCTTGGATGAGGTGATAATGTCGGCGGCAATTTTACTGTCGTTGGTGCAAGATGGCATTCTGAAAAGCAAAATCCTCTTTTTCAAGCACTCTAGATATTCCCTAATTCTTTTTTGCATCGAACAGGGTTTGCCCTTTTATTTCCAAAAAATTATAAAAATATTGAGCAATGAGTCGGAGGATCCAGGAAATGAACGGCGGGCACGGTAACAGCAAAATATCAGATCGTTATAGAAGTTATATTACACCTTCTTCGGCCTTCTTTTGAAATACCCTTGCAAATTCGGCAAAGTCTCTTATTGGCATGCGGGAAAGAGATAACGGGCTATCTATTGGCAGTATTTTCGCCTTTACGGACATGAGGTACCCTATAAGAGGGCAATTCTCTGATGGCACTTCAACCTCCACCTTTTTCTTCATCTTGGATACCTCTCGTCTCTTTAGTTTGTTGTAGATTTTACGGGCATCAATAGTGACACAAGTTCGGAAATTCAAGCTCTTTAGAAACTCAAACTGTAATATTGCAAAAAAAAGAAAAAAAGGTCAAAAACTGTACTGTTGATGTGCGACATTTTATAAGAATTCATGTGGAAGTGGTGATTTTGAGAAACTAAGCTTTCTCCTATTAATTCAAAAAAGTAGACTACTTAACAACAAAAAATAAATCAATCAAATACATAGATACCAGTGGCGTACCGAGGGGGGGGGGGGCGGGGGGGGGGCGCGCGCCCCCCCCCGAGAACGGGTCACGAAATTTTTGAAAGTTACTTACATGCGTTATAAAAATGTGCAAAGGACTTGTTTATTTTTGTAAACAATTAAAATAATTTTTTAAATTTTTTAAAAATCCAAATTAGCTTTATAAAAAAATTTTTTTCGGGGGCGTGGCTGACGCCACGCCCCTTTTTCCAGATTTTAGGGGCTGAGGGCCCGCAAAATTGTTGAGAAGCCCCCTAAAATTTTTTCGGAGTGCGTGGCTGACGCCACGCACCTTCATTTGAAAATTTTTTTTGCCGCGCCCCCCCCCCCCGAGCCGAAATCCTGGGTACGCCACTGATAGATACATAAAGCACTCACAATTGTTGATGAGCACAAAGGTAAAGCTATTGACGAAGATATAAATTGTGAACTAAGGAGTCTAAATTTTTTATCTCAATTCAAATGGTACGATCGTTATACTATGCCTTACACAATTATATGAACTATCTGCGGAATTCAGAGCTGTAATTTTGCAGTGAAATATAAGTTTTTATTTATGTAAATGGAAAGTGTTCTAGAATCTGAGTTGACGTGGATATAGTTTTCGGCTAACTATTGAGATCTTTGTTTGTTTTCTAGTACTCACAGGATGCTCTAAGTAATCATGTCTAAAATCTAATAAAGCAAAATTATTCGCTTGGAAAGCATGCAAGAGGGTAGATCAGAGAGAAATTAGCGCAGAAACTATAATAAAGAAATGATCTTGCTGGCCTGCTTAATATACTTTCATCGTCATTTAAATAGGTACGTCTCACCGTATTTCGAAAATAAGACTTAGAAAGTCATTTAAGTTATTAAAACAGAAAATTGAAAAAACGTGACTGTCCGAGGGGGTGGTCATAAGGCAGAACAGGACATGAGTTAATTATGAAACATCAGGATATAGATTAGGGAGTGACGAGAGATACACGTCCTGATCTCATAATTAACTTCTGTCCTCGGATCACTTCACACCCACACTAAATATCAATCTCATTACGAAGAGATTACGTAAAAGTTTCAAAGTGCGATGATTCATGGTCTGTGATTGTAATAGTTATATATGACTTTGCCCTTATCAAAAGTTTAGAGAATTAGCAAAGAACAAATTTATGGGCTCAACCTAAAAATTTGAGCAGTCCGGTTCAATGGGAAAAAGAAACGGGTTCAGTTTTAAATCCTAAGGGTACAGGAAACCACTAGGGTTTGAGATTGTAGATCAAAAAACTAAGATTATAGATTGAAATATGCGTAAAACTCGACAAGAACTGGTGATTTCAGTAGCTCTATCTTTAGTAACTGTTCTTTCTACCCTTATTCCTTCACCTATGCGGCCAACCATATTCGCGCCCACCCAGCTCATTCGCGTAATGGCAAGCTGTACAGCGCGTTTTTTGAAGATGTCACTTTTTGTGTAATTGCACAAGATCTCATAGAGAGCGAATGACTGCAAGTGTTCTTTTTCCAACAAGTGCTAACAATTAATCCGCACTAAACCACAAGTTTTATGTCGCCTCGGGGCAAAGCAGGCGGGCTCGTTTTTCAGGTGTTCGTCGAGACGCGGCTGGGCTCGTGTATAATTTAGCACCTTTACTCCAGTCGGCAAAATTCTTACATCGCCTTCACATAATCGCCCCCCTCATATGCGCGTTCTGCACGCAGATCCCCGTTCTTCGAAATCTACAGTAACCTCGACGAAAACTTCAAAATGGCCGCCGTTTTGGCTGCGTTATCTAGCCTTGCAACATCGCCACCCGGTTCGACATAAGGCACGCGCAAAAATGCACCCGTCACGGTTGTAAAAAAGGTGTTGGATTTATTAGTCGACGGCGGGCAGATGAAAGAAACTCGGCATTGTGAAATATGATGTTCGCGAGATGCACATCAGTATCATTCACAAAATTCCAACACGACGCCATGGCAGATGTTTTGTAAAAATAGACGGGCGAGGAAAAGGAGCGTAGAGATATGCCAATGAAAGGTTTATAGCTATAGGGAACTAGCTGCCTACTCAACATACAAAAAGCAGGTGAAAGCAGCTGGATTTGCAAATATCTTTATCTACACCAAAAAGCTCCCAGAGATAGAAACACACACGCCATCTAAATGCTTGTACTCGGAAAAAATCTGAGCCCTGGAAACAATTTTTGAAGCAAAAACGACACCAGGATTTTTACACCTTTGTAGGCTTCGAAGCCGATTTACTTTGCAAATTATACCGCAGAATGGTGAAGATATCGGCGTCAACATACGTTTAGAAATTCTTTACAAATCAAGAAAAGACAAAAATATATTTTCCTCTCAAAAACTTTTTTGTTATCGTTGGAAATAAGACATCTATTTCTGAGAACCTACGGATGAAGTCAAGGCACATGCAAATCAAAGAAAATTGCTCGCGATCTTCTATGTTTTCCACAGTTCTCACTGGGAAATAGTAAAGTAAAAGTCCTGGTTGAGGTTTTATTACTATCATTTTTGACTGAAAAACAAGAAGCACAATAGATATTATAGGTCTGAACTATGCAAATTTTTTCCTTTCCAAATCTGAGTAATCGGTGAGTAAATCTGCAAAATTCCTTTCGAAAATTGCAAAATATCAATTACGACAAAATGTTACGATACCAAAAAACTTTCCATCAAGTCATTTCAGATAGCAACGGAATGTTTGTTGGCTATTTGAATAAAATAGTTCACACTTCCGATCACACTGCCTTAGGCCTCGGGCAGACTTTACGCGATTTGATCGTCGCGATTGATCACGACAAGAGAACTGTAACAATATCATTGCATGCCGATCTTCTTGCATTTCGGTTGTGATAGTCTCCCAACACGACTATTCGTGACTAACTATCACAACCGAAATACAAGAAGATCAGCATGCAACGAACTCCACTTGTCTCGTAGCGATTGAATTGCGACGATCACATCGCGTGAACTCTGCCCGAGGCCATTCACATTTCAAATAGCAACCATTATTTGGTAAATACATTTCTAGTCACTTTCATTTGCAGAAATCCATATCAGAGATGGTCGGTACTTACCATCAGCTTTTGTCGTAGTTGGAAGGTCAAGCTTTGCCTCGTTGGACGCATTTTTGAGTTGTCTTTCAATCTGATCCAAAGCGCGCCGTTTTGTATTCAGAGCGCACAAACTGCACCTGAAACTTTATGCACTCGCGGAGCTGCTCATTTCATCAAGAAAGACGTCGAAAAGCCTCACGTGCAGTTTCTATGCGGACACTTCTGCTTGTGGCCCTTCTTCGGCTGGTTGAAAACACCGTGATTGGCGCATAGTTGGCACATGTACTGCTCTTTGGGCATCCTGAAGAAGGGTAGGGGAACTTCGGTTAGAGTGAGGAGATGCTTTCCTACCTGGACCAGCTTCAGGGGGCAACGTCGACGATGTCAGGAGCAGCGCGACCGTATCCCGGTCGGTCAGGTCGCGATGGGAGACGTCGCCGTCGTCGACGCAGTCGGGGCGTGGCGGCGCCCTACCATCGGCCGCGCCCACCAATCGGCGACGTCGTGCCGCCGGCTGCCCGCTCGCCATCGACGCGAGACAAACGCGCATCATTTCACAATGACAAATCGAATGATGGACGAGATATCCCGTGTGCCAAGATTTACTGCCCTACACACATGCCTATAATTTCCAGTGGAAAATTCGTCCAAGCCATGACAGAGAGATTGAAATCATAGTGCGGCATGCAGTTCGTCTGAATACTGCGAGGAAGAGGATAGGGTAGGACACCGAATACCCACTTGTATGCACTCATTTGAGGAAATTGGGTCTCAGCAATTTCCTTTTATTTTTTTTCGGCTGCTTATAAGCTCTACGCTCTGTAAAAAATCATAACAAAGTTCTGTGACAGCTGAAGAGCTCAGCATTTTAAACCAATTTTTGATCTAATGTGACCAAAACCAGTATAGTGTAGGCCCGCTATCATCCTTCAGAATCATCTTTCATATTTCATCATATTTCGGTTTCATTACTTAGCTGATGCTGCAAAACCCTATTATCCTCAACCCACAAAATTAGCCAGTTTTCTGCCAACCGACATTCCTCACAATCAGAATCCAAAATTATCCGAAACGATACCAGATACCAGATCTTACTTACGATACCACATACTAGACGATACCAGATCTTCATATAAGTTAATGTTATCAAGCTTTTCTGCCCCCTGCCAACTTAGATGAGCATAGGTAGAATACTACTAATGATTCAGCACTCTCCTTCGTTCAAACGTCATATCCCGCTGTTTACTAGACGCAACACTTTTATTAATCAAAGCGGAGCTATATTAGTGCAAGTTAACTATTTCTCTTGAATGATTGTTATGGTGACTTCGCTAAATTGACTAGTTATCGTTGACATCAAACAATTTCCGCTACATTTTCTCTTTCGAACTCCAAAAACACTAACAGCTTCAATCGTAGCTTAGCATAGTTTTTACCAGCCAGCCAGCCAAGTTTAAACTACCTCTTAGAAAAAGCAAGTGTGCAATAAAATCGTTTTGCTTTCAGTCATATCAGGGCTTCAATTCAAGTGAGCCAGAATCGAAGCAAAGATGGATGGCAGATCAATCAGACTGTTCGACGATATGTTGGAATGGTCATTACAGACTTCGTGATTTCGTCCATATCAACAATGGCAATATTGCGAAAGAAGCTTTTCCTGTTTTTTATCAGTCCTATATTTTGCCTATAAATGTGATGACATACACGCGGGAGTCAATTCGAGGAAGTAGTAGTTTTCCGGCCCTTCAGTTCTCGTCCCAAAGCGCCAAAGCCGTGCGACTCCATAGAAGAGTTATTAGCTGTTGAAACGGTGTGTGAGCGTTGTTCCAAGATTGTTACAGTTCTTTATTGACGGCTAACGTTTCGGCGCTTTGCCTACTTCAGAGCCTGGAAGTCGAGATCATAAGCAACCCATTCCTTCAGACGACAAGAAAACATTCAGAATACTCTTCGAGAGAAAGCAAATGAGACACCGTCAGAAATCACAAAAACCATACTAATCTTAGATAACAAAAAGCGGAAGTCAGAAGACCACCTATACGCTCACACACCGTTTCAACAACTACCAAAGATGCCAAGATTCAAAAACGATCGTACATGGGCAGAGTTAGTAGCATTTCATAAAAAAAAAATTATAGAAATAAATTATGAAGAGGAAAGTGGTAAGCTCTTAAGTTCGAACTTATTTTTCGCAGCATCAAGGTAATAATTTTGGCAATGGTTCAATCATTATTCATGTTTGTAGGAAAAGCTTCCCACTACCTCCTCATCAAAGGAAAACTTGAATATCGATTTTGCATGTCTACGTAATGTAGGGGCTTAAAAGAAAGGTTCTTGATTTATAGGAGCTTTAAATACTTCTTCTACTATGAATCAATAAGGATCAATATGTACATAGAGGGCAATGGACTAAGAAGAAGCCCCTTCAGGGTTATGAAGATATTCTAAATGATTATAAAATTGGCAGCTGCTTGTAAACTTATAAAAAAAAATTAAAGAATCTATGAATTTGTAAAATCAAATTAGCTTTGTAAAAACAAATTTAGGGGCTGCCGCTGCATCATTTCTCAAACATCGTAGTAAGGTCGCCAAAAACTTGGGCATTTCAAAAAATTCTAGAAGGGAATACCCATGACCAAACCCTCTCAAATGGAAAAATTTCGGTTTTCAATGCATGGTCCCATTTTATGATCGGCTTTTGCAAGAACAATTCCTTTTTCAACATCGACACCAATCTTTTCGAATTTCTTATAAACATCAAAGTTTTCTTCTACTTGTTTCGTTATTTGTTTCGCAACATATGCAAATGTTTCACCCCATTTCGCATACCGAAAAAACTTCAGCATACATTATCATGAGGATGAAATTTTTCTAGCCTTTGAGACTCACCGTCAGGCTAGAAAGTAGCCACAACGGTGACTGCTAAGGCACAAAGGGATAACAATACTATTGAATTCGTGTGGCATTCGAACTGGGGCGGCGTACCTCACAATGCCTCAAACTGATCACATAATGGCGAAATTGTGAAACTTCAATAAAATTTGGGAAATACAGTAGAATGATCCTCAGAACCGTTAAAGTAAAAGTTTTGAGAACCTAAAGTCGGCGAGATTCGAAATGTTGCAGATTTGTCAACGGCGTTTTCAGCAGTTTACCGTTAGATTCATTCTGGTTCCGTTAAAAATTTGTGTAGATACAGTCGCGACGTTTGATTGGAATCATTTTGAATTTTCACATAACTTGTCGACCAACCTCCTCAGCACCGATCGCTTTCCCCAGCCGTAACTCATTCGCTGTCAGTTGTACGCTCAAATCTCATCGTTCCTTCCGTGCACACTCGGCGTCTATAAATTACCGAACAATTTGCAATATTTCTTGCATACGCCACATCGCTTCGTCCCACCCACCCGCAAGCTGACACCTCGCTTTTTTCGGTGTTGTTCGTTCTTTTTTTCACCTAACGATACAACCTATTGAACGATCATTCGGATGTCAAGAGGAGGAGATTTGTATGGGGAGTTCAAGGTAGGTTTACGACTTGTCACATGCAAATAGGAAATTAAGCAGCAAGCCATTCAAAGCAGGAGTTTCCGTATATTGTACAAAAAAAGAGGACAAAAATGCTTCCAATGTCTTAGTCAGTACGCAAGCAAAATCCGAAGAGATATTGTATCGTCTTTAATTTAGTAGCAGCGCCAGTGGTTGGGCTTGGGAATATTTTAACATATACCGGATGTCTTTGAGTTTCTGGCCTACGTGCAAAAATCTAAAGGATAAAGGATTTGGCGTCTTCACTACCCCCTGCGAGCATGCGCTAAACGCAGTCTACTTCACAGTCGAAGAAGCTACTGAATGCGTGCGGGCCTTATACAGTAACTTGCAGGGGCCAGACGATTACCAAGCACTCTGACACCAACTTACCGGCCCGGGAAAGGAGCTTGGTTGGCCCAGCGTCGGAATCGAACCTGGGTCCGGACTGCTCATAGCGGCGCCTTATACCACTACGCCACTCGTCCCCTGGTCATAGTTTATTGCACCAAAAAATGGGTCAATAGTATATTTTGCTGTGGCGCACGAATTCGCCACCTTGTCGCCAGTCTGTCAATCCCATTTTTCAGCAATCTTTTAACCCCAATAAGTCTAACCAGCGCCCGGAATCTTCATCACACAACGTCGTTCATACGGTTTGCGAAAGAGTGTAGCAAATGGATAATTCGCTGGGTGAGATTCTAGGGTACCTCATTGTCAAGTCTTGCAAAACAGTTTGAAGTCATAGTTTATCATGCACAAGAGTCATTAGATTTGTTTATTAGAACCTCCTCTGTAAAATGGCCGCCTTCAATCGGTGCAGCTAAATTGCCTACAAAATCGTCGATCATTTTGTTCTTGTTTAGCAATTGGCAGAACGCTCTTATTGTTGCAGGACTGTTCAACTATTGGCATCCCGAAGCAAGGCATTCATTTTTGCCCCAAGTTGATGTGCAAACGCCATTTTACATAATCGAAAGAAAATCTGTGCGAAAAACGCTTTTCCATAGGCAATAGGCAGGTGACGAAAACGCTTTTCATGAAATTTCGAAAGTCTTTTTGAAAGCTATTGATCAAAGCTGACAAGCTTTCCACTGCAATTGAAGAGTACTTGAAGAGTCAGCTCTTTTCACTGTTACACGTTTGCAACTTTACGGTTGCTCAACAAAGTGAAGACAGAAATGGTGCTAGAACTCATGAAACAAGGTAATTCTTTGAGCTCAAAACACATCTTAGAATTTGAAAGTGACGAAAAAACCCAGTATGCAATTCTCTACGTAAAATCATTGCACCACAGATCAAAGTAATTCTCAGGATCAGGGTAATCTTAACTCTGGTAATACTTTCAACAACTCTCAGTTGAAACTTCTGAATGCATGTTATACGAGTACTCCATAGCACTGTAGCAAACCATTGTCAGATTTTTTACACATTACTGAATTATACTCCGAAAAGAAGAAGTTGAAAATCCACTCTTTTGAACATGTTAGACGGCAGTGTGCCCTTCTCAGGAAAACTCTCATATACTAATATATTTTCCCTATAACCTCTTCAAGCTGTCCTCATCGTGCTTAACCGGCGGCATAGTGAGAGCTCAAATTTTTGTTTTATTCATGTAATGCATTATGAGGTCCCTAAACAGAAAAAAATGACAGTAGCAGAAACAGTTGAGTCACATTCAAGTGTTTTTTGCAGGACCTTAAAAAGTCAAATTCAACAGTCAAAACCGTCAGGTTAAGCCTCTTCGCCAGTTCACTGCGTTGCATGTAATTTTAAGGTAGGTCGTAAGTTGAGCTGAAGAAGATAGTGTGCATAAGTTACTCATGGACGGCGGATGGCTTGACAAGATGCCACATAGGACAACTGCGCAGAACTGCACCGAATTTGAAGACATACGGATAAAGAAGATCGATGAATAGCTGTTTTAATAGCGGAGATAAAACAAGTCTTGCCTCTTTTTTTGCAGAGTATGCTTGATTTTTTGGAGATTTGAAATGGTAAGAATGAGAACTCCTTTCTTTCTAATTTTCAACAATTGTACTACGGATATGTGTGTTGCAATAATGTAGACTCGTCCTAATTCTCTCTTTTAGGTAAAATCTTTAATGGCGCTCATAATCGATTTTTGAGCTGAGGTACGGTAGTTCAAAATTACTACAGTTTGTTAAGGCTTCTAAATTCCCAATGGCAGTAGAAAAATGTGACTCTACTTTACCCTACATGAATTCTGTCACACCTCATCAAGTTTGAAACGAACCCATCTGTGAATAAATGATGAATTCTCTTTCCGACGTATGAATGGCGGACGATAATACGAGAATTCTATGCGAAACACACGTTTTGGAAAAACGCGTCGAAATGGATTTTGTCGGACGACAACGTCGATGAGACACGACCGCATGCACACCTCAGCACAATCACTTCGAATGGGTAACATGATGTGCGAATGGGCATCTGTGTGATGGCGCTGACCTTGCGCTGCCAGTGGCAGCAGAAACGAATCCTTCACGGTGGGTCTCTTGAGGAGCAAAATGAGTTTATATCAGTGGCGGCTCCAGAAAAAAAATTAGAGAGGCAGAGGTAAGGGACATTTTGAAAACTGCTTGATATTAATGTGCCTACAGACGGTGTTTTATTCGTATCGGCTAATTGATTCTGTCGTCACTCTAAAAGGTCTAAAAATAAGTACATTAAGTTGAACTAACTCCGCGCAGGTCCTTAGGCAAAAAATGACCGCCGTCATGCCATCAAGAACGAAAAGTCAACACGGGATGTGGCAGGTAGACCGAAGACTAGCAGAAGCGGACAAATGAGATTCCAAAAGGCAAACAGAGACACATATTATCTACAATCACATGGTGTTACAAACGGCAGAAATTCGGCTGCAGTGGACAAGCATTCACTTGCGCAATTGATTTCTGGAATTCTTTCAAAAGACCGCAAGGCTTCCAATGCCTTCTTGGATAAGACCTACCTAAAGTACAGGGTGTCCTAAAAATTGTTAACACTGTTTGATCGTTAATAACTCCCTTGCTATGATGTCTTTCGCCGAGCCTTAGGTGCCATTCTTTAGAGCGAGGTTCAACTTAGATCTGCACTATGTAGCAAATCATCAACCTCTCTTTATTACTGTAGCATTACGGTGGGAACTTCGACATGGATTTTAGGCCAATGGAGGCCATATCTTGCCTCGGAAAAAAGAGCCAGAAACTCTTAGACTGTGGTAGTTGAAGCCGCTGATTTCGAACTTTCCACTTTACTGCGATGCTTTTTTCCTAGGTTTTCCCAGGTAAACCGTAATAATTGAATTTCCAACATTTGTCAGAAATGTAATTACATCGACAAAAAAGCTAAAAACACTCGTAAGAAGTTGTGTAGTGGAATCAGCTTCTGCGAAAACTCTAGTATACGAGTTTTCAGATTTTTTGAAAAAAAATTTTGTCGAATGGCATGAAAGCAAGAGAGTTACTAACGATCAAACGTTAACATTTTTTTGGGACACTCGTATTTTTTATGATTACCTCTTCATACCAGTAACTGCGTTAACCATCTTCAGAAAGAGGGTTTTTTCGCTCTGCTAATGATGTGATGGATGTGTGATTGAGCGGTCGACCAAGATGGTAACACTATTTACTATGGTACAATGGCCTACGTTTCGGCGCTGTCGCCTTCGTCAGAGCCTGGAAGTCGAAGTCATCAGCATCTATTCCCTCAGACATCAACAGAAGACTCAAAGTACTATTCGAGAAAAGCCAATGAAAACCTAGTCAGAGAAAAACAAGAGCAGCACTAACCTTAGCCAGAAGCAAAAACGGAAGTCGGAAGACCGCCGTGTATGCAAGACTATGCCTCCGCTCTACTTATATATGCCGTTCTGACCTGACCTCATATTCAAATCCGCATAGGGATTGATATGGCGCCAGTTCTTTAGTGATAGCGATACACTCCTCCTTTCTATTCATTTTTGGATTTTTGGCGGTTATCCAAAACGCTTCCAATGTTTTGCGCGCGAGGATCTCGGGCTCGAACGACAAGATTTGCACTGCAACTTGTATTCCACCTTTATCATGGCGCACTATACGATGCTTTCCGAATGGAGTGGCTGCTTTTAACTTGTTTAATCCGTCTAAATGCTCCTTAACACGGCAGCAGAGAGGGCGGCCCGTTTCACCGATGTATGTATCCCCGCATGCTAAACATGTGATAAGATATACAACACCGGATAGCACGCAGTTTCCCTCCTTACCAAACGGGCAAACCACGCAATCAGGAGTGGGACAGAAGCGATCGTAAGCACGGTTTCGAACCAAACGCTGCTTGAGATTTGCGGGGGGAATATCGACTACGCTGACAACGCCTTGCAAACCCGCCTGATGTACGCATCGCCGCACTGCGCTGCTCAACTCATCAGAGATGAATGGCAGGCAGAACGGATTTCGGCGGTACTGCTCGAACCACGAGCTCTACCCCGAGAGCACCAACGTGCTCCCGAGACGTGCTCTCGAGCAGTGTAGCCGTTGGATGCCGCAATTCCCCGAGCGATGGCGATAGACCATGAGCGTTCTTCGCTGCCAGAGGACACCTGAACAGCTGTTTTGTACATGTTACCCACCACAGCCCTCTGCATCCTATTTGGGTGCGCGGACAAAGAATGTATAAGGATGTTCTTGTTGCTGGGTTTGCGATACCATTTTGTTTTGTATGCTCCGCCTGCAAGCTGAATCTGCACGTTTAGAAACGCTAACCATTTCTCGGAGGGCTT